AATATATTAATTATTCAATAAATCTAAAAAATAAATTTCTCTTACAGAAGAAATACCTACTAAAATACTCTTTAAAAAATTGTAACTAACCAATCACTCACTAATCAATCAAAATTTCTATTTACCACTATACTTGAAGATATATCATAAAAAGTATGTTGAATACAACAATTCCCTTATGGCGAATATGAAAAACCACAAATAACTACACAATATTGATATCGTAAATTTTTTGATGGTTATATTGAGTAGCTTTGTATTTGAATCATAAAAAAAAAAAATTTGTACATGAATCATAATTGGATCATATTGATCGAGTCATATATAGTCAAAATACAAAAGACTTTCATCTTTGAGGCTTAGTGCTGGGGGAGCGAAGGTGGAATGTGGACTGCCCGAAGAGCTTTAGTCACTTAACCAAACATCAATATGCAATACCTAAATTGTACATCCTTTCACCGATAGTTTTGATATCATAAACGGAATGACTAAATTTGCTTAACTTGGAGGTGAAGGTGGAATGTGAGATTTAGCCATTCTCACCCATGCTACTAGACCTACTGCAAGAATAATCCATCCAAGCATGTCATATATGAAGTCACTGCTCTTCTGCTTTTTGGATGCCTGAAATGGACCAAACAATACCCTGTTAAACTCATGTACAAACAATACCCTGTTAACTCATGTACAAACAAACCAAAACAGAAATTCCTCAATTATTATATACAAACAAGTATACAAGAAAAACATTCCACACAATCTCAAAATATCATGAATGATTTTTTAAACAATTTAATCCTGCAAGGCTACTTTCGCTGCTTTCCAACATCAGAAATGTGGCAAGCAAGAGTAGAAGACGAGTAGTTCCAAGAATAAAAAGCTTTTTAAACTACATATATGTCTTCAATATAAACAAGGTCAGATTCAGTATTTGCATTCTAAGTAACAGATGGAGAATAATTATTAGGGGAAAACATAATGCTGCACGTATCCATACAAAGTTGATCAGACCCTTTGCCAATTACCAATTGCCAATACAAACCCAATTCTAACCGCATTATCATAGGAAGACAGATGGCAAACAATATTGCGATAGTACTTAGAAAGGCACCTGGACCAGCCAATAATATACACACACAAACAAAGACACACCGCAAATAATATACACACAAACAAAGACACATCGCGGCAGAAATAATTTGATAAATTGACAATACAACCACCTAACATCATTTTACCCTCCAAATTTGAGGCCTAATGGTTCTTAACAAGCATTTATCGTAGAATAAAAACTGCATTTGAGCTTTAGCATTTTAAAATTATGAAAACCCATCCTTTTATATTTGGCATGACCAGTGTTGTTAATAGCGGATCACAGAAAACATCGGATCACCAAAAATCCGATATGAGAAATATCAGATATTGTAGCGGACAAATAGCATAAACCACAAAACGGTTAAAATAAATAATTATATATAAAATAAAACATGCCACACACAAACATTAAACTGAAAATCTCTTCAAGTTCTAACAACCAAGTAGTTCAAACTTCAAAATCAAAATGACTTAACTCAAAATTACATAGTTCAAACTTCAAAATAAGTACTAATAAGTAATAGTTCTTCTAAGCATAACTAGTGACAAAGATAAAATTATTCTCCATGTTCCCAACCTAATCATTATCCTCATTTTCACTATGTGAAAAATGAATAAAGTGAAGAGAAAGTTATGATGATGGAGGCACTCTGACTCCTATAAATAATCACACAAACTCATTAATATTACACCTCTTCACATTCTCTTTCTTCTATTTTCCAGATTAGCAATTAGAATATGCTAATAATACCCACACACCTCTTCACATTTCCACTTTATTAAGACTCCACCTCTTCACATTCTACTTTATTCTACTTTATTACTCCTATTGTGCACCTCTTCACAACCTACTATTTATTTATGTGCACCTCTTCGCATCCTACTTTTTGATTCAACCTCTTCACGTTCTATATTTTTTAATATGACTTATTATCAAAATGATCACAATAATATTAATTCTGATATCAAATTCAAAATCGGTATACCGGTATAAGGGAAAACGGCCGATATGTTGAGCGTAGCGAAATTGAAACAAAATATCGTCTTTCGTATCGGATAGCCAAATTCCGATATGAAAAACCGGTATATCGGCGATATAACCGATATTTAACAATCCTGGGCATGACCAGTTACAGTTAGTATTTGTGAGAATGAGAACATGGCAAAAATTAAATTAAAATTTTGGCAAACCCAACCTGTCCTTTTGAAGCAGAGGACTCGCCATGACTCATCTGACCAAGCCCAAGCCCACTTTTGTGAATCTCCATGTGTAGTTCTGGGGCCTATGAGACATGATTTATAGATATTCATCAGAGCAGAAAAGATACAATTGCAAACAAGTTCCATATGATATTAATATATAGCAAAAAGAATCAACAAAGTAATGCCCAAAATGCATACAAAAATAATATCAAGCTGTTAATGATTTTTTTGCAAAGTTCCTCTACCAGTAAAACTCACAAGCATGTGGAAAAGGAAAACATCACAAAACCATTTTTACCATCCTTTGTGAACCATATAAATTCCAACAATGTAGATGGATGCATTCAGAGTAAAAATACACATTTGGTGTCTCCAATCCAATCTGACTGCCTTAATATCACTTAAGCTTTATCTCCATACAAACACATTAACCATAAACAAAACCCACAATATTTGGTATAAGTGGGCATTGTGATTTACAGAACAAACACTCCAAACAATTTACTTAATTTTACAATATTATAAAACAACAGAATCTGAATCAGTCAATAATAAAATAAACCATTAAAACCTCAGATAAACCAGAAAGTAAATAGCAGATAAATGAAACTTGACAGTAGTGAACTACTTTATACTAATATATACATTGCAAGCCATGACCCCATCAACCAAAGATTAACATTTTCAGCTAAAAACCAGAGTACACAAGGTAGTTTTAGCTGATTTGCTAATCTTTTTTAACAAATTTTTGAACACAAGAATAAAACCACATGCAGAAACAACACGAAAAGAATGAATGCTCATACATCTATTATTTACATTACCTTAAGAGCAACTTTCAATGATTGTCTATAGAGATCATTTTCAGGATCCTACAATTTCAGAATCCACCATTACTAAACTTCAACAACTACAATCCCAGCTTGTCATTACATGTAAAGAAGATAAAAGCAAATACATTACCACGTCAACAGCTTTCTGCAAATACTCACAGGCCTTGTCAAAGTAAACCTTTGCATCACTAAAATCAGGAGTTAGAAATGCACAAGACGTGAGGCCGTTCCCCAAGCACCAGAGAGTGTAGTGCTTTGTCGGATTGATTATTAAAGCCTCCTCAAACTTAGCAAGTGCATCTGGAATTAGTCGTAAGTTCAGTTCCCATCATAACTCAATAATTAATCTCGTGAAAGTTCAATTAAAAATTATCCCTGATTTTACTCATCATAGATATACCTTCAATCCTCTTCTTGGAACAATCAGGGTCTTGGAATGACGACAACTCCATCAAAGCTTCTCCCCACTTGGTAAGATTCTACATAAATAAAAATACATACACACATGTTCATACACATTAGCTCTACAGCGACGAAAAATGATTTTGATTAAGCATACATTTGTTTCTACATCAGAAAGGACATAGACACACTAAAAGAAAGCTACGATTTCCTATTTCTCATACTACAACTTTGGAATGTGAAGCAAACCAGAGAAAAGTGGATAAAAAACTGAATTGATTTTGTAAAACTGATTTTCAATTTACAATGAATTTAAGATAAATTCTGTTAAAGTCACTTCAACAATAATCTTGAATGTAAGAATCACAGTTGGAATCAATTCTACAAACAAAATAAATTCTAATAAACCTGAGCTAGAAAAACAAACAGAGAGAAACAGTTTCGACGACTACAGAACTAGTAACAGAAACTTCAGAAATAGCATACGTATGAATAAAGCAACAAAAAGAAAAAAGATTATTAGGTTAACAGTGAAGAACGATACATACATCAGCATCAAGAGGAATCAATTCTACAAACAAAATAAATTCTAATAAACCTGAGCTAGAAAAACAAACAGAGAGAAACAGTTTCGACGACTACAGAACTAGTAACAGAAACTTCAGAAATAGCATACGTATGAATAAAGCAACAAAAAGAAAAAAGATTATTAGGTTAACAGTGAAGAACGATACATACATCAGCATCAAGAGGAATCAATTCTACAAACAAAATAAATTCTAATAAACCTGAGCTAGAAAAACAAACAGAGAGAAACAGTTTCAACGACTACAGAACTAGTAACAGAAACTTCAGAAATAGCATACGTATGAATAAAGAAACAAAAAGAAAAAGATTATTAGGTTAACAATGAAGAACGATACATACATCAGCATCAAGAGGATTAACCGCGTAGTTTTCTTCAGCGGTTTTACGACTCTTCTCAAATAACACTAAACGCTCAATTTCATCTTGAGTAAACTCCATTTTCAATTCTTGTGATCGTCGGAAAAAAAAAGCGATTCTGCCACCGCAACCACGCCGCAAACGAAGTAATACCGAGAAGGAGAAAGATTTGGGCCTTGGACATAGATTTAAATAATGGGTCTGAAGTAAAAGCCCAATTAAAAAAACGCGGGAATAATTAGTTTAATATGACGATAATACCCTTGCGTTTTCCCGCCAAATTGAAACCCTAATAACTGTAAAACGCGGGAAACGAAGTAATACCGAGAAGGAGAAAGATTTGGGCCTTGGACATAGATTTAAATAATGGGTCTGAAGTAAAAGCCCAATTAAAAAAACGCGGGAATAATTAGTTTATATGACGATAATACCCTTGCCTTTTCCCGCCAAACTGAAACCCTAATAACTGTAAAATGAGGGGGAAAAAAGAGAAATGAATTGTAAATTGTTATGGTTATGGTTATGGCGGAGGAAGAAGAGAATGAGTTATCGAGCGAACCGGAGTTTCCGAAGAGTCGAGTGAAGAAGATAATGACACTGGACAAAGACGTAAAGAGAGTGAGTTCAGAAGCGTTGTTTCTGGTGTCGCGATCTACAGAGCTGTTTTTGCAGTTACTTGCTGAAAAGTCTGCGGAAGCTGCAATTGAGAAGAAAAGGAAGACGGTGAAGCTTGAACATATAAGAATCGCGGTGAAGAGGAATCAGCATGTAAGTGATTTTCTTCTCGATTCGCTTCCTTTTCCTTCTGAAGGAACTAAATCTGATAATCCCGCGGCGGTTGTTGTTGATAAGGGAAAGTCTGTTCCGGTTGGTACTCGCCGCATTGATCATATATTTAGAAAGTCGGAAGCTCAGGATGATGCCGAGGCGCCTGAACCCATGGAAGAGTCATAGGTTGTGATCATTTATACTCTTTGTATTTTGAAATTTGCTTCTTATGTTAATTCTTGTACTTTTCTTGCAAAGCTCTCTCAAACTTTTGAGAGGCACTGTGTAAGAAACTTAAAATGCCTTCTGTTGAGTTGTGAATTTTTAAGAGGTCATTTAATCTTAAATTAATCATGGAATTTGTGTATAGAGACTCTTTTTGCCATAGCTTAATCAGGAAAAAAGTGTGAAGAAGAATGAAGCCGGTATTGTAGGTCGTTTTGCACATACTCCAAGAAACTCTATTTTCTTATGTGTTCCTAACTAATGCATTATTTGAATCCATTAACAAGCAAAATGGTTTCTCTTTTTGTTGGTGCAAAATTGCAAATAAAACAATGAACTGATTAATTAGTTTGTGGTTGATATCTAGTACAAGTTATTCTATTTGGGAAGCTTAAAAGCAAACACATAAGTAGAGTTTGGATTTATTCTTTTGCATGTTCACAAACAGTATAGAAAGGGGGCTTTATGAAGCATCAGTCAAAATATACGATTCTTTGTAAAGAAATTTAAGGAGAAAATGGTCCGAAATGTGTGGTCACCCTTGAAGATGCATCGTCTCTCATATGAGAAGTAAACACAGGTTCACTAAAAATCTGTTTCCTTTGTATTTTCCTTCCATCCTTAATGAAGGATATACCTTGATTTCCTGAATATATGCTGTTTGATCCTAGTTGTTGGATACTCATTGGGAGTCTTTTGTTTATGTTCGGTGAATATTCTGGACTCCCGTTCAAGCTTCTATTTGGAACACGTCTAGTGCTGGTGCCCGGTCTTGACGCATATGTATTATCTCGCTCAAAAACTATTTGGCTCTGGACCTTCTTTTTTTCCCACGACTGCGAACCAAACACATAGAGGAAGTAAGAAAAAGGTTATTATTATGGAGTACAACAAATTATATGGCCGGAATCTTTTCATGAACAACATAATGTTGGCAGCGATTAAATATTTTCTTTTAACTGATTTGTGAAGCTGTCAATGTATATTCAATACTAACCTGTTGTTGTCTTTTCTTATCCTCCTCCTTTTCTTGTCTTAGAATGTTGTATTCTTCTAATATTTCCATTAGAGGAACCTATGTAGATGTCATTTTGTCTTGCTGTTATTGACTTAATAAGGCACGACATACTATAAAAGGTCAATCAAGAAAATACATATCGGATCATGAAAAGAAATTGTGAGAGTGCAAGACCCTATCAATCTATTTGATTGCAACAGTGGTAAAACTTCTCACTTTTTAAGTACATATTTTTCTATTATAAATTAATAGAGAATTCAGAATGTTGCAGAGTGTAAAACATCTTACCTGATCATACAAGAAAACTTTATTTCTTTCTGTTTCCCAACTCCTAGTCATTTTTATAAGCAAATCTACCAGAGCTGGAGAATAGCAACCACTGAATGTAAAGCACATGTGTGATTGCAGCAAGTTGGTCCAAATTATATTGTTTTGATCTTATCATACATACCTGGCATTCTACTGACCATTATACGGGCATGTTCAGCGCGTTTCAAGTTTTTATGAGCTCCTCTACTGACTGAATATCGTCTCTCATCCTGATAGTACACTTGGATTATGAAGCATATCACAGATGCAGTCATTATTTAATTCTAATTGTGAAGGTTGATTCAAATGAAAATTCTAACCATGCTGTATTCTTCTAGCCAGCGCTCCTCATCACGTGCTAGCATCCACTTCTCAACTTTTTCCATTATAGCCTTCCTACTTGAAGCCTCTGCTTTTGCTCTGGAGATCTGTTCATCCATGCTCATGAGGAGATCGGAATGGTCAATCTCCCCTTTTATAGATGCAAGTCAATTTTTAGGCTGTTTTAGTACATTATTCAACTGGATTACACACATTAGTTAGATTCACCTGTGTTTATGAGGCTAATTATATTGTTCATTTCTGTCCGTGAAGGAATCTCCACGTGTGATTTCTTGCATATGAATTCCAGTTCCTCCTGCTTCTTCTGGAATAGCTCCTTCATCTTGCTTGCTTTTTGTTGATCTAGTCTTTTTACTTCAGCTTCAGTCTTTGTAAAAAGTTGAGGCTTTTTAAATACCCGAGATATTATATTTTGTAGATCTTTAAGTTAGATACGTACCTGCTGGACTATCTCTAGAGTAAGACTTCCTGGATCTGATATTTTCGTCGATGAGACTGACAACAAATTGACCACGTGGGAAAAAGGTTGTCTATCACGGTAAGGTGTATCCATAAGATTCCAAAGATTTTCTAGTGCTTTGCCTAAATGGTGAAGCTGCAAAAACATATCAAGAATACAAAATTGTCTGAGATTTAAAGACCCTGATTATATATTTTAGAATAGCATCAATATGAAAGAACAATAGTATCAATTCACCTTGTCAAGACGATTTTGCTTTTCTTCATAAAGGGACTCTACTGTGATATTGAGTTTATGTAGGATAGCATCACTTATATTTTTTGTTATGCCACACAAATCATTCAAGCTAGGGTGAACTTGCAAGATGATTGCAGTGGAATCCTTTCCCAAGATTGTCGACAAGCCGTGTATTTTGTCTATGTATTTCTCCACTTTCTGGAGTCTTTCATTCTTCAATAATCACACAAATGTTAAATTTGAATAATTTACCCCCTTAAAGATGGGGCGAAAAACATGAATTTATTTTAGCTACCTTCTCATTGTAAAGCCTTTGCAGCTCATTCTGATAATCCTCAAGTCTTTTTAGTGAAAGATCATTCTTATTCACTGCAATGGTTGAGAGTGCATCTTCTGATTTACCTGCAATTTCTGCAGAAATTCTTTGAATTTGTCCCTGCACAGCTCGGAATTGGTTTAATCTCTCTTCTTTCCTCAAGCGCATCTCACGGAGTGCTGGAGTGATCGAATCTAGCTGCTCTTTTAGCGTACCTGCCCTTTTTTCTGGCTGTACAATTACCATCATCAGTCTAGTGTCCATACTGATTCGCGATTTCTAGTCGAAATATACACATCTATTATTGAGTCACATTTAAGAATTAAGATACTTTTCCAAAGTTGTATTGTTTGCTAAGTTTATCTCAGTACATCAACTAATCTGTTTTATGCTTACCTTTTTCAACACTAACTCATCACATGGAATATTTTGTCTATTATGAAAAATATGACATGTTATAAATCATTGTTTTACTACTAAGTACTAACTCGATATGGCTAAGTTGAAGGGGTACCCGTCCAGGAAGAGATCGTTCGCCAAGGGACAAAAGAAGGTGAGTAAATTCCGCCTCAGCTTCAGCCAACTCCTGATGCAGACTAGCTCTAGATGTATTTGCTCTGTCAACTTTTTTCCTGTAAACCTCAAGGCACTCTTGCTCCATATCCAGTAGAACCTTTTCCCTCTCGAACTTATCTTCTCCAATTTCCTCCCAAATTATCTAAATTCATTTGACACAAGGAAAAAAAACTAAAATGTGACAAAAATCATCTAAACACATAATTAACTAGTGAAATAGTAACACTTCCTGCCTGCAGCTCCTGTAACAGGAATCCACACGAGGTCTCTAGCAATGCGGAGCTTCTCATTCCGATCGGTGTCTGGAATGAACCCATTTGAGATGAAACTTAGATAATGCTAAGGAGTGAGATTCTGAATGATGAAGATGAAAAGCCAAAACTCAAGTACGACGAAAAAGAAGTTTTGGTGTCAGTGGAGGTAGTATTTTTGCCATTTGGTATTGGATTTTGCTTAAAAGACAAGGGTGGCAGAGGTGGGTAATGTAAACTTTGGGTTCAAGAATCAGTCAGTTATTTGATCCTTCATACTTTATCTTTTTTTTTTGTTCTCTTAAAATTTTCTCACATATATAACTGTCTTTGTCTTTGGAACCTAAAAAATTGATGGAACTCCTTATTTAGATATGTCAGATGTGATATTTGTTTTGCACCAGGCTTTGTAAAATACTTGTTTTTTTTTGTTTTTTTTTTAAGACTTGATTCCTACGCTATATTTCTAAAGCAAATGATTCTGATTTTGATTGGGACAGATAAGTATGAGATAATTATTTTGTTTGCTTTTTGTGATGAATTATAAGGTTGATTATTTTCCTTCTAAGTTTTCAGAAGTGTGATCAAATATAGTAGGACATCATTATCACGTGTATTGCGAGCTTTTTTTAAATTAATAATAATGATTTTTTTTTTAAAAAGCAGTTTATTTAGGTGCAAAGAAAACAGCACTAGATATGATTTTGAGTTCCTACAGAAATTTGTTGAATGAAACGTTCTACCTTATTCTAGCCAGAGATGACAAAATATTAAATATGTATGATACTATCCGTGCCATATCATATTATAAGTTGTTTTTTTATAAGTATAAAACAAAAAACAAAGCAGAATACTATATTTGGTGTCTCCAACGTTTGCGGCAAAAATGTGGCTTGGTCTAGAGGGAGGAGTGTGCATCAAGAGGTCAAGACTAAAGGAGGTGTTAAGTTTGACCAAAATTGAACACATTGTTTGTCGGGTGTGGGCAACTTCAAATTGAATGTTCTTGCTTATATATCCACGATATTCTGAATCAAGACAACATATTCGTGACACTTCATAGGGAAAGTCTTTATGAATTATATAAGAAAGTGGAAATTCAAAACCAAAGAAAAAATCACGATTGTTATGCCAACTAGAAAATAATAATATGGGTACTTGCTAAAAAAACACAATGAGGACAATCCTGTTGTGTAAGATTGTCGGATGGTTTAAAGTGTTTGATAGTGTTTTAGGGACAACTCACGTAGAATTGTGAGAAACTTTATATGAGTTTCTTCAGAAAGATTGAATCTCCCCTTTTCATTTCAAGGACGTGGTATTTATATGAAACTCGGTGGGTCTAGATCAACGAGTCAGGGGACGGTTTCCCAAATTCCCTTCTCAGAGAATGTGGCAAAGGGAGAACTTATTCTCCCTTGAATCATGAAAAGGCAGTTTTCATCCATTGAC